TCCATTCTATTAAGACCACCTAACCTGGCCAGCCACTGGTGGGTTTACCTGTGCAACCCATGCTGTATCACCCCCGCCTCAGGTTTCCCTTAATATTTGGGGAAAATTTGTTAGCCAAACTAAGCGTGTGCATCTGTGGAATTTTCTTCTATGGTTTTTCCATTATTCCCAGCCAGATGTAAAAGCAGCAATTTTTAACATGGAGACAACCATTATGAGGTGGCAGTTAGAATACTATTTATTGTCTTTCTCTGTTAATTTTCCATCAACAAGTAGGTGTATAACTCTAAAAATAATAATTAGCACAATTTTAAAATGTAATTAAATTTCAGTAAAGCCACAAAAACAAGGAAGCAGTCAACGTACCTCCCCAAACTCAGTAACAAAAACTACATAAACCAAATGTATACTTAGATACCATATTTGGCACTTCTGCCATAGCTCATCACTTAATAACACATTTTGTTAGATAAGATTGCCAGCTAGAGAGAGAGGCAGGGAGAGGGAAAGGGAGAGAGAATGAGGGAGGGAGAGAGAGAGGGAGAGGGAGAGGGAGAGAATGAATGAGAATTTTCTTTTTTACAGGCATTTATGTCAAGACTGTGGAATCTCAGAGCGTAAGGAGGGAGAGAGAGAGGAAGTAAGTAAGTAAGTAAGTAAGTAAGTAAGTAAGGAAGGAAGGAAGGAAGGAAGGAAGGAAGGAAGGAAGGAAGGAAGGAAGGACTGACTTATGGGTATGGGAGAAGGAATTAGCTTATTTCTGGTTTAGTCTGAGTGGAATATTCAACCATCTACAGTAATAATATTAAGCATCATATATAATATAGTTGTGTAATAAATTTCTAGGACTCTCAGCTTTCTAAACACATTCCTCAGCTTGTCATGATCAACACAAATGAATTCTTCATGTTACCTGTCTGAAAAATTCTTCTAACAGTGACATGGTCCAGCGATGATGGAGGTTCCATGCCTTGGCAGGATGACTGATGTCAGCTGTGTGCAACATCAAGGATAAGGCTTTTGGTTTGTCAATTCTGAAAAACCAAAATAATGGCATAAATTAATTGCCTAAATAAACAGATTTTTTTAAAAGACTGCTAACCAAGGTATGCTGATAATAAGCTAATGAACAATAGCTTGTGAAGTTGCAACCAAAGCATAGTCATAATTCAAGGTTGGTCTTTGAACTTAACCATTTTTGCCTTTTTCTAGCCTTTATTGCCTCTCCTGTACAATCTTCTTCAATAGGAAAAGACTTAGCTGTTAATTTGTGATTTTGGTGGAAGAGAAGTTTTGTTGCCCCAATAGAACAAAATTAAGTTTAATGTTTAAATGGTACTCATATAGTCCATTCCTCATAATGAAATCTTTACAAACTGGATTCAATTTAATTAGGAGCCCAACTCTAAAAAGAATATTAAACATGCAGATCTTTAAAACAAAACAAAAAAAAGAAAAAATAGTAGCTATAAGATATAAATTCTTAGTTCAAGGAACACACAGATTTGAATAAACCTTTTAATTGCTACAGGAAGAATTCCAAAGAGACTCTGCTTTGGTACTCATCTATCTTGTAACTCCTACTAGTGAACAATGCTCCATTTCTGATATTAAAATTTGATTAGAATTTGGGTGCAGATGGATTCAATTTAAATAAACTGGATCCAAACCAGTTAATATCAGTACTTGGCCCTGTAATAAGTATATAAGTATATAGTGAATTGACCCTGTAATAAATATAATTTAGTGTAACTAATATTGGCTAATGTATTCCAGACATTTGTCTCCCACAAACATTCTACCAGGGCAATCCGATATGCAGTATATTACATTAATTAGTAAGCAGTAAAGCTGGGTTTAGTTGATCTATCAGTGATAACAATCAGAAGTATATCCTTGCTCTTCTGAAATGATGCAACTGCATGTGAATCCAATCACTGGAAAAAGAAATAGTTCCAAGTAACAAATAATGTTGTTGCTGCTGCTGATGTTGTTTTTCAGCAAGGTGTTTTTAAGGCTCATGTAATAAGGTGGCAAAGTAACAGCTATAGTAGAGATCTTTCCTCTCCACAGTATCAGAAAGTATCTTACCCTTCTGGCTGCTGCAATGCATTCTTCATGGCTTTGATTTGCTGAAAATGACAGGACATATCTGTAGCCAGCACCATCTCAATCACTAGAGTCCTGAACTCTCTATTGGCAGATATCCAGAACAGAAAAGAATGAGGAGAGAATGAGAAAAAGCAACTTATAAGAAACACTTGTTTTTCTTTCTCAGCCTGAACATTATTTATGACATTATTAGTCTTCATTCCCATGTGTATCACTCAGTCCTTCATGTTATCTTTTTTACCAGGGCTTCTGGGAAGGGAGGTATGTACAATTTTGTCATATGCCAGGAGATAATAAAGTGATTTTCTGACTTTAGGACACCTCTTCTGGGAAATGCCGCTTTCTAGAATCATCAAGCAGAATATGACACTAAGCAGACAAAATCATTCCTACAAGAACACAAACATACATTATTTGGTTGACTGTTATTCTGTTGCAGGGATCACTCATTATAGTCCAACAACCTAGCCCTATGGATGAAGAGATGAAGAAACAGCAGCAGCAGCCAATATAATCCATAACAGGATTGATTGGGGAACCATATGATGGTTATGATATTAGACCAGGGCCTCATTTATTCATATAGGCCATTGGTATCTCTGAGCCAACCACTATATCTCAGTATAGTGGGACTCCACTGAACTGTCCTTGTTGAGGGGCCCTTAAAGGCTAAAGTCACCCTGAAGGAGTGACAAAAAGGAGGGGTGCCTTGCATGTCGTGGAGAGTAGCAACTCTCCTGCTTGATCCAAGGCTTACCTTCCCATCCTACAACGAAGAAGAGAAGTAGCCATTATGGCTGCCATGAAGCTGGGACAACCGAAGAAAGAAATCTGCTGGAGCGATGTGTGAATAGTGGACTGGATCTGGGTGAGGTATTTTCAACTTCTATACTAGAGATTAACCCCAAAGAAAAGAAACTCTGAAAAGATAGACTCTCTAAAGTGGTAAAAAATGGTGAACAAATAGCTAGAGAAAGATTACAGAAAGATGAAAGATGAAAGATGAAAGAAAGAACCTAAGAGAGGATAGAAAATTCTTTAAAATATAGAAAGACTGGATTTGAATACTTTATTGGTAATATTTTGAAAAGGCATTTTAAAATACTGAAAACATTTGGTTGATTTTTGGGAAAAACAAAATCTTTTGCTTGAACAAAATCAGAAATAGATTTTTAGCTTTTAAATTGGATATAACCAGTGATATAACCAGTGGTGGGATTCAAATTTTTTACTACTGGTTCTGTTGGCGTGGCTTGGTGGGCATGGCTAGGTGGGCATGGCTAGGTAGGCATGGCTAGGTGGGCATGTAATTGGGTGGATGTGATTGGGTAGACGTGACTGGGTGGGCATGGCCAACTCATCATCACTTACATCGAGAGGCATCTCATTCACCTCTTCCAGCCACTCCTCATTACACCTGGCCTCAACATATCTATGGTTCTGTAAAAATGTTGTTCCCCTTTTTTCGACTTTATTATCTGCATCTACATACTATTGATGTACTTTCATGGACCATTGAAACAAGGAAATGGCTCACATGCTTAGCCCAAGAGAGTGATAGACAGATCACAAAACAGGCTTTTGAGGGACTGCCACAAAGAAGGGGGAGTAATATATTTTCCAAAGAAGCAGAAAGCAAAACAAGAAACAATAGATGGAAACTGAACAAAGAGAGAAACAACCTAAAACTAAGGAGAAACTTCCTGATAGTGAGAACAATTAACTAGTGGAACTACTTGTCTCCAGATGTTCTGGGTGCTCTATCACTGGAAGTTTTTAAGAAAAAACTGGACAGCCATTTCTCTGAAATGATATAGGGTCCTCCCACCAAAGTCCCTTCTAAATGTTATTCTGTTATTCTGACAACTTTCCCAGGCCCTCCAGTCAGATTTTGGCATCCTCAGTTTTCCTGTCTGAGCAGGAGGTTGGACTAGAAAATCTCAAAAGTCCCTTTCAACTCTGTTATTCCATTATTCCTAAGAAACACACACACACACACACACACACTTTTTAAGTAAATTCCCTTGTTTTGGGGACTTTAGAATCAAAAGGTACCTTGGAGCAATGGTGGACTGCAAATTTTTTAACAACCGGTTCTGTGCCCTAATGACTGGCTGAATGGGTGTGGGCTGGTGGTGTGACAGCATTCAGCCTCCTGCAGCACTCTGCCAGTCAAAACGGGGCATGGGAGTTAATTAAAAAAAGTGGGCTTTGCTTTGTGACATCCAGACCCAGTGAGCAAAGGGTGTGAAATGCACATAAAATACACTTTTGTTTGGTTATGAAGAAATTAGATGTATACTAAATGTGGACTGACTTTTAGCTACACATCTTCCTAGCAAACAGCAAATTTTGAAGTTCCAGATAAACAGGTTTCATTTTTGGATGAGTAACCACAGTTTACATATTGAAGGTTCATAAAGGAATGCTGGGAAACTCTGTATTTTTAAGAACATTTGAGGAAAGGCAAGTTAGTCAAGGCTGAGCCATCTCTGCTCAGCTCCCTACCTGCCTGCATCTCATCCCCTGCCTGAATTCTCTGCAGCTGCTGGGGTTCGCCTGCCGAAGTGTGTGTGGGGGGGACCAGGGAGCATCAGGCTATGACATCTGTATCACCCCTCTGCCAGCCACCCACCCTCACTGGGCCAAGCACTTTGGCCAAGCACAGGCTACTACTGTGTGAATGATGCAAGCCACATGGGCTGGAAGGTAAGGCTGATGGTGGGGAAGGAAGATCCACTCTGGTGAGAATCCCCCTCCAAGCAGGTAAGGCCCAGCAGCTGCGGAGAATCCAGGGGCAGCAAGATGCAGGCTGGTGGGGACCCAAGCAGAGAGGGCTTGCCTTCCCTGGCTTGCCTTCCCCTCTGCCACTAGCTACAGGAGAAAAGTACAGTTGCAGGATGAAAAAAGAGCTGGTCATGGGGAAGAAGTGGAGAGAATGAGCAAGGGACCTCTGAAAGAGGGGAAACAGGGTGGAGGTAAGTGAGGGTGATACCATGGTGGAAACTTGTGGGAGCAAGCAGAGCGGTGGGTGGGTGGGAAATGGTGAAGAATGAGTGGGTGGCATGCAGGTGGAGGCCCCAGGAAAGGCCAGGGCCAGGGACTGGTGCGTCCCCCAATCCAAGGCAAAAGGCGAAGAGGCGGCATGAATGCAGAGGTCCCAGGAAAGGTCAAAATTGGTGTATCCTCCCTCTGAGGCAAAGGACAAATAGGCTGCATTGCCAGCATGGTAAGCTGCAGCAAAGGCAGGCAAACAGGCAAGGCGCAGAGGCAGGCAAGCTGGCTGGGCCACATGGGGGGGGGCAGCTAGGCCAGAATTCAGGTCCTGCTGCTTGCAGGCTCACCCAGGTTGCCAGGCAGATCCGGGCAGCTCAGCTTAGTAGCACGAAGAGTGCCGTGTGGGATGCAGCCAAAGGCAGACAAGCTGACTGGTCACCAGAGACCATGTGGTTGAGGCAAGTGAGGGAGCCAGACAGAGAGCAGCAGCAGATATGCTAGGAGCATGGGCAAGATGGGGAGCAACTGGGCAGGACAAGGTGGGTAGGGTGGGTAGGGCAGGGCCATGCAGATTTTTTACTACTGGTTTGCCCAAACAGGACTGAACCAGCTGAATCTGACCACTGGGTATAACATTGAAAACCTAGGCCATCTTTTGGTATATGAAAGAAACTACACTATATTTTCACAAGTCTGGAAATGTCCTTGAAGTAACGTCTGGGAGACTGTTTTGCTTTCTTTTTTTTTCTTTGCATAATGTTTGATATCTATTTGCTTCATGGCTAAAAAGGAAAAAAATGAGATTTTTGAAGATTACTAGCTTACAAACACCTGGAATTATCTTTGAAACTAAATAGATGAATACCCAGCTTATGAAGAAATGACAAAACCTGTTGGACCATGTAGGACCATAAATGATGTCTGATAATTTTATAAAGAGGAAAAAGAAGGAAAATTAAAGGGGGGAAAAGAGACTTATTGGGAAACTTGGAAGAAGCAAACTGACTGGGGGAGGTCTACAAAGAATGATAAATACTGTGCATCCTGGAAATGCAGCAACAGGAACAGCTGGGAACTAGCGGAGCTCTGATGGGCTCTGTGAAAATCCAGCTGGACACCCACTGTTAGGGACTCTTGGGTTAGGGTCTGTTCTGGAGGAACAGGTGGAAAAGAAGAGACATCTTGCAGACCAAAGAGGAACTGGCAAGCTCCTTGAAAGGTCCATGATAAAACTCTTCAAACCAATAGTGGAAGTGGCAGCAGCTTTAATGGCCACTTTAAAGTTGGGGCTTCCGGGCCAAGCCATATGAGTAGGAGAAGCGTTGGAACAAAGTGCTGGACCTGGGTGAAAAAGTTATCAATCCAAGGTAAAGAAACTTTTAATTTGGAGTAAAAAGAGCCCGGAGCAGAATTTAGCAACTAGATACTTTGAAGCTGTGAGAATCAACAAAGACGATTTGTTTTTGCAACAGAATTTTGGACTGGACTTACTGTTTTGGTGGAAGATAAAAAGCAAATAAAAAGTGGAAGTGGACTTAGAAATTGGAAATAAGAAAACGGAAAAAAGAATTCTAAGTTTTAAATGATATAATAGAGAAAGTTTTAAAAATTGTTAAACTAATTAAACATATAACATGGAAGCTTGGATGTATAATAAAATACTTGATATGTTAAAAAAATGCACGTGAAATGCTACATGGAAAAAACAGTGAAAACTCAGAGGGAACACTTAGAACAAGAAGAAGGAGAAAAGGAGAAAGAAAAGGGATTGTATGGAGATCAGGCAGTTATTATAGAAGAAGAAGATATTGAAAAAGAAAAAAGTAGATGATTATACAGGGATTCACACTTAAGTACCCAAAGGAGAAAGGGGAGAAATGGCCCCCCAAAAGGTGGGATCAATGGGGAAAGAATAGAGGAAATTGGGGAGAGATACTGAAACAACAAAATTAAAAAAGAGAAAAAAGATTGGAAATGGAAAATACAGGAATTTTAAGATCAAGAAAAGAAAAGGAAAAATTAGGCAAATGGTTGAAAAGAAGAGAGTAAGAGATAAATGAAGTTTCTGAGAAACTAAGAGAAAATGGTTGAAAGGAGGAAAGAAAGAAAAGGATTTAATAGCAGAATAGAATGAAGCTTAATAAATATAGCCAATGGTATATATTCAAAAAAATGTGTGGGATATAGATTAAAATTACTACTTGTGGATAACTAATTAAATGAAATGTTTACTATATTTCAGAGCCAAGGTGGCGCAGTGGTTAAATGCAGCACTGCAGGCTACTGCTAGATCAGCAGGTCAGCGGTTCAAATCTCACTGGCTCAGGGTTGACTCAGCCTTCCATCCTTCCGAGGTGGGTAAAATGAGGACCCAGATTGTTGGGGGCAATATGCTGACTCTCTGTAAACCGCTTAGAGAGGCCTGAAGGCCTATGAAGCGGTATATAAGTCTATTGCTATTGCTATTGCTATATAAAATTAAACCTGAGGATATGTATTATTAATAGTAAAACAGAATAATAGATGGAAATGATATGTTGAATTTAATTAACTTTGAGAGGAAAAAGGATATTGTTTATATATTAAGAAAAAAATTAAATTAAGCTGGAGAATATGGAATAAAAATAAGACGACTGAAATGTAAAATGGAAATATAATGTAATATGCATAATAGAAGATGTAAAGGGGGAGAACCAGGACAACACTTTGTTCACAAAAAAAGTTAAAATATGTAACAAAAAATAAATAAATAAACTTTGTGTCAGGCCTGCATTTATATTCCTTTTAGAATTTTGGCCTGCCACACTTTCTCTTATTTCATTATGCTGTTTCTTTAATATAGTTGATGGGAGGGGGGAATAGACAGGACTGAGATTGTGGAATGTATTGTTTTTCACTCTTTACTAGAAGCCAGGTCATCCTTTATCTCTGCACCAGTATACCTAACCGGAAGCAGCTGGATGCCAGTGTGGCTGAAGATTGGACCATGTGATGGATTGTGAGTGTGGGGACAAGATCATGAACTTTTAACTGGGTGGAATTCTGATGTCATTTCCAGTATTGGGATTAACACAGATGTGCCTAAGATGTCTGCTTTATTAAATTGGAACAAAAAGGATCGTTTTGCCTTGGACTCTGATTTAATTCTACATGATACTTGGAATGCTGACATTTTGTTTGATAAATACAGTGCATCCTGGGGAATGATTTTTGGACTAAGAGAATTGTTTTAATGCTGGCTTTTTGGTGTTACAGACAACTGAGAGTTTAGGACCTTGGTAGATAATAACTTTGCCATTTATTAAAATAAGACAAAATGCTTCTACAGGGAAAAATAAGTATCTTTCAAAAAGAAATATTATTGATGTTTCAAAGTATTCATGTAACCATAACAAAGAATCACAGGGAGATAAAGGATTTGATATAGTTATGAGATCAGAAAAAGTTCAGCAAATGACAATGAAAAATGAATAAGTAACCCTGGAAATAGAAGAGAAAATAGAAAAAAAAACAGAGGAAAGGATAGAGCTGATAAAACAATAAATGAATCAAAAAGACAAGGAGAAGGGAGAGATAATCAAAATGGATCAATTGGACCAGGCAGATTACACATTAAGAGATCAAAAAATAGAATTGGATAAACAAAAAGACTTTCCTAAAATGAAGATAGAGATACTGATAGATGTAGAGAAGGTTTGGCAGCGAGAGATAGAGGTAAAAACACAGGGAATACTTAGATTAAATATGAATGATGTATGGCGATACAAACCATCAAGGGAGGAGAATGGAAAGAATGCCAAAAAATTAACAAGAATTGAAATACTAAAATAAGCAAGAGATGCTAGAAATAGAACACCTATTAATATATAATTTGTGCTAATAAGATTTAGAATAGAGGTAGAAATTAGACAGAGGGAAAATATTGGTAGATAAATTCTTATATAATACTTTAAAATTAGAATGTAGATTAATAGATCAAAAGTTGAAATATGATGGTATTATGTATATTTAAATAGTGTCTTTATGGTTATTAATGTGTATTAAAACATTGAATAATTAAATGATGAAGGATTATATACATGGTTGTGCAAATCCTACAATGCTAACAACTTTAATCATAATGTTACTATAATGATATGAGTTTGATTAATGTATTTTATACAAAATCCCAAGGGAGAAGTATGGAAAACATTCCAAAAATCAACAAGAATTGAAATATTAAAATGGGCAACAGATGGTGGATAGAAATAGAATACCTACTATTATAAGATTTGTTTTATTAAGATTTAGAATAAAAGTAGAAATTAGAAAGGGGAAAAATATTATTATGCATATTTCTATATTCCAAAATCAGTATGTAAAGGAAAGGATCAGAAGTTGAAAGTTGAGTGTATTATGTATAATGTTACTATAATGATGTGAATATGATTAATGTAACTAAGATTACTAAAATTATCAATATCATTACTATTATTTGGTACCAAAACTAACAATACCCAGCTGCCACACTGTTCATGTATTCAATACATACATACATACATACATACATACATACATACATACATACATACATACATACATACATACATACGGAGCACGGAAGCTGGCAGAGAGCTCAGGCCTCCATAGGCGCTCCCCAACACCAGTGATGTTATGTTGGTCATGCCCACCCTGGCCATGGCCCCCCGGTCCCCCCAAAGTCAAATGCAACCCTGATGTGGCCCTCAATGAAATTTAGTTTGACACCAGTGATCTAGCCTATTTTCAGCTTTAAAAGCAGCTAAAAAACAACTAAGCATGATTGTCACAGAAGTATTTTAATGGAGATTTATATTTTAAAAGTCTATATAAAGAAACAAACAAATTCTGTAAGTTTCAGAACTTACTGCACTTGTTTAAAAACATGAGTTTTTAAACATGAGTGCAGTAAGTTCTGAAACTTACAGAAGTTTTTCTTTGCCTTCCATGTAAACTAATATGAGAAAATATACAGTTTTGCATGTTTGATCATATTTTTTTTACTTACGGGTGCTGAAGATGTATTTCTTCTTGAAATACATTGCACTTTTGGGAAATAATTAACAAACTTTGGGAACTAATATTGTTTGGGAGAATTGAACATTTTACCTCATTGATCAGATGTAATTTTTTTGTACTATTTTTGTTTTCCTATCATTCTTTGGCAACAGCAACCCTACCAGGTGGCACATTGTTATGGCATTCTTTAAAATAATGCATATTTCAGTTGAATTACTTCAGCACACATTTCCTCTCAACAGCTTCTCACATTAACTGCTAAGCAACTATCTTCTGCTATGTGCTCATGAATCAAGATTTTCATTATGTTTAATACAGAACAATCATGTTGACAAGCATTACGGTCAACCAGCATTCTTACCTCCAATCATCTTTGGAGAGGTTAGACAAAATGTTCATCTCCTCATCATCTTGCAAAAGTTGAAATGCTGCACTTAGATGATGATTTTCTAACACAGACCGATCATTGTATAGAATGGCTGTATCTGACCTATAAAGCAAAAAAGCCAATTCTTATATGCGAAGATTGGTTTTATTCTTCTAGTAATAGCTAAAAATATTATTGTGCAGTACCAAATTATTCATTTTTAGTATTTATTATTTTGTAAGAAATGGATGAGAAAACCAAATTCCATTTTAATTCTTTCAGGCCAGAGAAGTTTCCCCCCACTTCATATGCATTTAATAAATTATTCTAAGAAGCTTCTTGAATGAGAAGTGAAACATCTTCAATTTCAGTTGCCTTTCTAAAAAAATCATCTTTGGAACAACCTGATCTGAATGACTGAGAATCTCCATAGATAAATTATTCTATGGTATTTCATGAAAAGTTTAAGTTTGAGTTTATTGGGATTTATAGGCCGCCCTTTTCCCTGAGGGGACTCAGGGCGGCTTACAACCACAAGGGAGGGGGGTGCAATGTCAAAAAAACAAAACAAAATGTGAAAAAGCACAGTCCATTGATTAAACTTGTTTTTATTATTATTACTATTGTCCCTTTCCCTCAAAATGCTGTGGAATAAATCAAATTGCCAGATTATAGTAAAAAAAAAATCCATACAACCATTTTTATTCAGAGGCAAACTTCATTAACATTAAGGTCATATCTATTCTAGGAAGTGGCTAGAAGGCAGTAATAATGGGATTAACAGAAAAATTATTACTATTCTTATTTTGTATTTTATGTTTTTAACAAATGAAAAGGAATGCTTCATTTTTCATTGCATGATATTAGTCTTGTATGGAAATTCATTATGAAAAATCTCTGCAGGATCATGCAGTATATTTCATAGCTGAAATTGGTTTCAACTTAATTTCCTTTTATTCAAGCTCAAAACAGTAACCATTTAAACAAGAAATATATTTCTTCCCCAACTTTCTTGGTAACTGGAAGAATGTGTGCATGCAATGTGAATGCTAACTTGCTCCATCAAAACCAGATGTTTACTGTTAGATAGGGGGTATAAGTGAAGAGACAGGAGGCTCCGTTGAGAGAAATATCCTTTATTTCCACTCCAGAAAATAACACTAAGAAAGCAGTGCCTTTAACAGGGAGCTGTCCAACATTTCAGCCACTGACACTCATTCATTTCTTCCACCGGGGAAATGAACCAATGAGTGAAGCCCTACATTCTGAGTGAAGACCTACGTTCGCTTCACTGTTATTTGAATATTCAACACCCCTTTCCTCCTGAACCATGCGTTACTCAATCATTTTCATTCAGAGGTCATAGTCCCATAGATAGGAAGGATTATGGTAGGTGCATCTGGACCTGCACAGCTCATTTGGCTCAGCAGCAGTGGTCTGAGTAGGCAGGTCTTTTGCCCCTCCCACTTCATCCTGCAGAAATGCCTCGAAGTTTTCTTGTGGCATGGCTGGTTCTGTTGGCTTAACTTCTTCCCCAACTATTCCCTGGACCCCTGGATCTTCAGAGATTCCTCACTGGATCCCTAGTTCTGCAAATAAGTGTTTACGAGTCTCCTTCCGGCCTGAGACTAATGTTGGGGTGTGGTTGAATTGGCTTGCAGTGTCCCTAGTTCTGTTTCTGCTTGTCACCTATAACTATGGTTTAATCATCTCCAGAGTTCATCAATTTGCCTTGTCCCTGTCTTATTTTCAGGGAAACATGGTAGTAGTTTATCTAACTTTTCATGCAAATCCCCCATGACCCGTCAAAACCGCGCTTGACTAAGCCGCGCTGATTAAACCGCGTTGCTGACGTTAACAGGGCGACAACAGCCAGCACGGAGAAAGAAGGGCACTTTAAATAGCGTTTTGAAAGCAAGCCGATTCAACTTAAGGTA